TGAAATAACTGTTTAAAAAATAAAAATAAATAAATATAATTTTTTAACTCAGTGTTAACTAAGCCGTTTTCTTGGAAAAAATAATATTTTTAAATGAAATAAAAAACCTTAAAGCGTAAATTAAATTAGTAAAAACCGTAAAAAACTCAATAAAAGGTAAATTATTGTGTATAAATGCGCTTGTTAAAGGCAAGCAGAAGGCAATTTCGGGTGACCGTAAAACAATGCCTTATTTAGTTGTTTGTGTTGGTAATAAACAGAGCTCTAAAGTCTCGTTAAGCCGACGCTCGACGTCGTCGAGTCGACGCCTGCCGTCTCTTTCCTTTCCCAACAAGGTATCACTTAACTGGCGTTTAACGGTATTACCACTCCAAAACTAATTATTGCCTTTTGTATTTTATAGAAATAACACCGATTGTAACACCTTAATGCCTCTTAATCAACTCAGGTAAGAAGATAATTTATTTTTTCTACTTCCACCTTTAAAACACCAAGTGACCTTTTAAATACACATTGACAAGTTGCGGCTTTATGCCGCTTTAGTCACGGGCTGAACTTAGCAACAGGTTTTTGTTCATGGGCTAGAGTTACTTTAGATAGTTGGTATCAAAGTCATTGGTTTGAGAGTAAATGTCAAAATCGATTCGCCATGCCGTCCTTAATTTACTTATTTACAATAAGCAGCTGTCAATGTTAAATAAGAAAAAAAGGATTTTCTTTGGTGTTAAACAAAATTTATTGCCTGAAAAGTCTCGTAAGTACTAGAAAAATCATAAAAATAATATAACCAATATGCAAAATATTATGCTGTTTAAAGTATAGCCAACCCATAAAATCAAAATTTTGGGTGGGATAAAGTATCTCATTACAGCACCGAAAGCGGTGTTATAATGAAGTCATTATGAACGCAAAATAGATAATAGTATATTATGTATCAAGTTTGATAAACGCCATTTTATACACGAATTTAATTTTAAATTAATAAGTGTATAGAAAAGTTTATAAACGAGGTGCATACTATACTTTTTCTACGACCAATACTTATTATTATCTTAAAATGATTTAAATCAAAAATTTGTATAGATCGCCATCTATGAAACAATAGGGGAATCTGTGTGTCACCGTCAAATGTCAAATTTTAATATTTTATAAACACAGATTATAAAGGTTATAAATCGAAATGTATTTCTTGAAAATTGACAGTTTTTCACAGTGAAAATATGAGCACTTTACAGTGGAGTCCGTGCCCGAATTTAAGTTATAGTTTACTGCCGGCGAACTATTTAATACTTTTGTATTTTTGTATTAAGATAATAAAATAATTTTCACATTTAGTATTATTTTACAAGAAAGGCACTTTATTTTAACGATTGTATGACATTTGACAACTGTCAACTAACTTAAAACTGTACTTAAACATGTACGATAAAGGGCGTTTTAAAGGTGGGAGTAGAAAAAACTTATTTAATGGAGAAATTATAAATTGATATTTTTTATAAATCGATTTTACAATATTTTGAAAATTATAATTAAAAAAAATAAACATTTGTTTTCATATATATAAACAGTGCAAAATAATTTTCAAATTGAATAAAAACCTTTTAAATATAGTATTTGTTATCAAACAAACAAAATAAAATCTCTCAAAGTGTTTTTTTATTGTTGTACGTCCAATAAACTAACCATGGGGGTTTTAAGTTTATTTATATTTATTTATTTATATGTGGTTAACAACTTATTTTCGTGAAAATGATGCATCATTGTTTGAGAACTGTTGTTATCAGGTGTTGGAATAGCGAAATAAGCCAGCAAATAAACAAATGGGTTACCCGCCCGACAATAATGGCAACAAACATAAACAAAACCCGAGTAAACGCTTTTGCAGAAAATTCCAAATAAAAATTGAAACGTGCTGTTTTTAATAAATTAATTAAAGCAATCACCACCTTTTTAAAATGTTTAAAGCTAAAATTTAATTATCTGTTTGGATTGTTAATAAATAAAATTCACTTACCATTTTTTGCCTATTTATTATTTATCGGTTTGGTATGGAATAACCCATATAGCGTTACAAGAATGCCATTTAAATTTATAATGGTACATCTATATCTTTTTAATATGGTATATTAAAAGATAGTGTTTCTTGATAATACATTTGTATCAGAGACGGTTACAAATATAAATATTTAGTAGTATAGCTGCATGTTTTATTGACATATTATATCATATAATAGATATATTGAAGGTGGATCCATCAATTGTGGTATAATTATCTATTCTTTTTTTTAATGTTGAACATATTGATTTACTAAACCCGGCGCATTCGCCATTTTTGAAAATTAACAAACTATTTTGGGATTTTTTAGATTTATTAAAAAGTTGCTATTCCTTTTTAAAAAGCATTGATTAAGTAAATACTTTTTTATTCTAATTTTGCAGTATTTTGGGAATTGTATTAAAAAAAATTGCGATCATAATGACTTCATTATAACACCGCTTTCGGTGCTGTAATGAGATACTTTATCCCTCCCAAAATTTTGATTTTATAGGTTGGCTATACTTTAAACAGCATAATATTTTGCATATTTTTGTGATAAAAAATAGTTCATAGTAATAGTCATTGTGATAAAAAAATAGTTCATAGTAAAAATAAAAGATATTTCAAGATCACAATCACAAATCCAAAAAAAGTTTAAAGTCATAGTTATTATTATTCCACAATTTTTATCCTAAAACATAACATTTTAAAAAGTTTCAAGTGATAGATGTACTATTATTAATTATATTTTATCACTTGAAACTCTTCATATCACCATATTAAAACGTTTTGTTTTAGGATCTAAATGATGGAATAGAAATTTGTGGGTTAGTTCTATTTACGTCCAAGGCGATAAAATATCAAATATAAATCAAGAAAATAGAGTAGGTACTTTAATTGAGCTTCAATACTAAATTTGATATAAAATAAATATTAAATAATGCTGTAGTTTTGTAATTTAGGAAAAAATTTTCTCCCTTATATCAAAAAACACCTCCACCAAATTTGCACAGGTTTAGACACTAAATAAGGGTATCTTTAAAGGTAAACCAAAATGGAATCAATTTTTAAAAAATCATTTTAAAAAATTTCAGGAATTTACAAAATTTATTTTTGAGAATAATAACAAAATTTTAATCAAAATGGACAACTTTTTCGTTCTTTTTTGTGATTTAATAGCTGAAATATCTTCGCCATAACTTTAAATTGCACAAAACAAAAAAATACTATTAGACAGATAGACAAAAATCAAAACTTTTTGAAATAAAAATGCACCCTAATACTATAAATACTCGTAAAAATAGTATTTTTTACGAGTAAAAAGTATTTCAAATGAAAAATATAAAATCGTCAAAATAGTCTAAGCTTTTATAGTATATTATTATACGTTTCGAATCGCTAGACGAGAGACTTAAATCATCCGAGTGAATAATGCGCATAATCCCGAGTGTAATAGTATACTTTATCTACTCCAATTAGTAGATAACTAAATGATTTACAAAAATAAATAAATAAAATTTTAAGATCTTAACACTCGATTAGTTCAAATCACAGTAAATATTGAAATCGGTCAATCACCTACAACGTGAATAATAAGTTCATTATTCCCGTTGTTATGCAAGGGATTCATAATGTTTATTATTAATCACAGAAAAAATAGTTATTTATGTCATTAGGTTAAGAAGTAAGGCTTTTTGTGCTAAGCTCAAGGTTTGAGCGAAGCACAAAAAGGCACTTCTTGGCCGAATGGCATACAACATTTTATCTTCAAAGCACTTTATATAGGTCAATTAATTTTAACATCAAAGCGGCCTAACCTCACTTTTTTAGAATCTCATTCATTTATTAGCCAAAGATTACATTAAATGTACAATAATTATTATTGCTTTTAGAAGCAGTAATAGTTTGACAATACCTAGCAACATGATTTAAGTAGAAATGGATTTTTGCTATTACATTGAATTCAATTAATTGTTTAATAAATAGGTAGGTATGTAATTTCAATTTGTTTGGATTTTTATTTAAAAAATAGGTAGTTAAGCTGTTTTTAACATTTAATTTCACTGAAAACTTAAAGCAAATTAAAACTTAAAGATAATTTAAATCGTAGAAAAAGAATCGTGCGTTTTCTTGGTTGCCTAACCTCACTTTTTGTTTTATTATTCATATTTAATTTTACAATAATTTATTGAAAAATATTAAACATTAACAGTAAAACAAACAAATTAGTGCTTATTATAAATAAATTAAATCAGTTTAGTACGTTAATTTCTTAGAAAAGGATTAATTTGTCAAAACAATACCCCTAGCGAGAAAAAATCGAACTAATTGCCTCATAAAAATTTTTATCGGCCTAGGCCATAACAAGGTATTTCTTTATCGAATGTTGACAACAAAAAAGTTTAAATTATAGACCGCGTGGAGATAAACAATATTATGCGATTTTTTATGACACATTAAAAGTGTTTTTAAACATAAATTGTTTGTTCATTTCATATACTTTGTAGACACCAAGATGTTTTGCGCTAAAAATCGTTTCGTGTAATATTGCAACTGAGATTAAAAAAATAGCAGGAGATAGAAAAGTGGCGGGAGAAATTGGGGGGCAAATGATAAATAAGAAAGTGTGCAGTTGGAGAGTGGAGTGAAAGGTGGGAGAGGCGGATCAGGGGGGGAGGGCGGTGGGAGGAGCCGAGAAGACTTGGAGAACCTCCTTTAAGGAGGCAGGACTGGCGAGTTTTGGCAGAAGCATTCTCCAAGAAGTACAGGGCAACGCGAAATACCTTCGATATTTTTGCTAATCATCGTTTTATTGCTTGAAGAAATTTTGGTGTTTTATATTATTTATATGCATTATGAATTTTTGTATGTTATGATGTACATTTTTTATGCGAAAAAAAATCTTGCAGTGAGGGGTGGTGGGGGTGGTTTGTTTGAGGGGGGGGGAGGGGGGAGATGTTACCTGGACGGGCCTCCATCGCGGTTCCAGCATGCCAGCGATGTCTTCGTAGCGGTTGTTGAAGGTCAGGGTCACTCGCAACGCTCGTATCGGATAATTCGTGAGATGTATACCCAGCACGGTCGTGCGATAGCGTGGCTAATGTCAGACTGTGCGAGACCGTGGAATACTGGCGGCGGCAATCGTAGCGGCGGCGCACTCTCTACTAACTCTGCCAACTGTGTGCGAGGCTACACATGTCAATCATTGTTTAATTTTGCAATAAGCACAGGTACATTAGATTTTTGTTGAAATGCTATAATACAAATTAATAATTTTTGTACGTTTGTATTAAAAGTTAAAGTATTCAATTAAAAAAATATGTACCCATACGAATTTTAAGGTTTGCATGTTGAAAAAACAGGTTTATTAAGACACCCAATCGTGGCCACGTTACAAATTGGTGCCGTGACCAGGATATTTTGTTTTGTTATTTTGTTTGTTTCTGTTTTGTTACAAACTAATAGATTTAAAAGTATAAGTAGTACATTTTAAGAAAAATTTAATATAGTATGTTTAGGATATTTTTGTATTTTTGATACCAATTTAACAATTTTAAGATTAAATTAGGAACATTTTAAAAGTGCATTACTAAGAACCTTTTAGGCGGTTTTGGAACGTTTTTAAAACCTTTTTTAGTTTTTTATGCGGTTTTATGTCTTTTAATAAGAGATATTTTTAACATTTTAATATGTATCTGCGCACCCAAATTTACCTTAAAAGGATATTGGCCACCCTGTGGCAAACAAAAAATTTCACTGTGTAAACCAGTGTTATTAAGACACCCAATCGTGGCCACTTTACAAATTGGTGCCTTGACCAGGATATTTCGTTTTGTTATTTTGGTTTTTTTGTTTGTTTCTGTTTTGTTACAAATTAATAGATTTAAAAGTATAAGTAGGACATTTTAAAAAAAATTTAATATAGTTTGTTTTAAATATTTTTGTATTTTTTATACCAATTTAACAATTTTAAGATTTTATTAGGAATATTTTAAAGATTTATTACTAAGAACCTTTTAGGCGGTTTTGGAAGGTTTTTAAAACCTTTTTTTTTAGTTGTTTATGCGGTTTCATGTCTTTTAATAAAAGACATTTTTAACATTTTAATATGTACCTGCGCACCAAAATTGACCTGAAAAGGATATTGGTCACCCTGCACAGAAAGAAAAATTTGATTAATAGTTAATAAATATAAGTTTAAGGCATATATGCTAACATACAGTATAGCAATATACTAAATATATTACTAAAATTATTTTAAAAATTGTATTCTAAATAAAAGAATGTGGTTTTCTTAATAGTAACCTGGGATAAGTTAAAGGCTATTGATTTAATGTTAGTGGATGTAGGTTTGTTGTTAATATACTCAGTTTGTTACAAATATTTAGGAAAATATTATAAATTATAATATAAATGGGTAACTGTTATTTTATGATAAATAAACTTACACCTTGGTATGCTGATATTAAGTTTAAGTTGCAATAATTATCAGCATTTGAATGTTATTGCTAAAATATAATATTCTTTATAATATCAATCAAAAATTAACTTTTAGGAGATGAATTATAACTATCATTATAACCGAGTTGTGCGAAAAGTAAAAAGGTAACTATTAGCGAATGAGTTATTAACAGCTGATAGGCATGATGTACGCCTAATTCAGTGCACTGAGAATACTCATGCGGTGAGGTTGATATAATGACAGACCAGAATTAGAGAACTTTGGGGTTTGTACTTACTTATTATAAATATCTAGTTTTGCTTTTCCAAAAACTGTGCTATATAGGAGATATGTCATAATTAATACGCCGAAATCGTGTTTTTCCACCATGATAGAAGTAACAAGCGTTTGAACCATGAGGTTTTTTGTTGTTGTTTTCTAAACAATTAGGTAATAGTTTATATTAGTATTAATCATTATTATTATATAAATTGTTTTAATGCTGGTGGATGTACATAAGTATTATTTGTTAAATTAAATTTCGTATTTATACTTTTTAACCATGCTGTTTGCATAATCATATGCTAACATAATACTTACTTTCATAGATTAACTATTAGCTGATGGAAAAATAACTGATAACTCAGAAAATGTGATTATTATAATAAAATACTAATAGAAAACCAAATAATATAACAGTTAGTAAATACAATATTTAAAATAACAAGGTAATTTTAATAGTTATTAAAGTGACTTAACTATTAATATTTCAAAACCTTTCTATTAATAAATAAAAGGTAAGATTAAGTACTTCTTTATACCTTGTAGTATTATGACTGTTAGTTCATATAGGTTTGGCAGAATACGAATCCACTAAAGGGTAACTATTACCTTGTAACAGTTAATGTTATTATTTCTTTTTCTCTGTGTGTGGCAAACAAAAATGTTCACTGTTTCAACCAGTGTTATTAAGACTTGGTGCCGTGACTAGGATATTTCGTTTTGTTATTTTGGTTTTTTTGTTTGTTTCTGTTTTGTTACATAATAGATTTAAAAGTAGGACATTCTAAGAAAAAATGTTTTAGATATTTTTGTATTTTTGATACCAATTGAACAATTTTAAGATTATATTACATTTTAAAGATGCATTACTAAGAACCTTTTAGAAGGTTTTGAAACGTTTTTAAAACCTTTTATATTTTTGTATGTGGTGTTATGTTTTTTAGTAAAAGAAATTTTTAACATTTTAATATGTTTTTAGGACAATAATAATATAATAATTTATATGAAACATTTTAGGACACTGTATGTCTTAAACTTTAAAACAGTTTTTTTTATAAAAATAAATATGCATTTTTGTTGTCTGAATCAAAAACTCGTACACATGCCAATCAGCGAAATTTTACAATAAGTCGCCGCTAGTAGACTGTCCAAAATGGTAAAACACTTCCCTCTACTTGTTTACTCGCCTACTGGCTGATCGATAGCCAGCCGTTGTTTGCTATCAGCCAGAAACATACATACGCTTACTAGCGACTTATCAAGTGCCCCCCAACGCCCCCCGTTAACCCTCAATTTAACCCCCCCTCCCCGCCAGATCCGCAAACATTGTAGCTTCCAAATCGAAAACATCTCCTCTGTATGGCGCTAACATTCTTAAAACCAAATCGATCCAGCGTTTTATGCACTGCTATTTTAATTAAATTAAATGTATCCGAATTTAAATAAGACTAGACACTAGACAGTATCGACATTCTTAAAAATACCAAACGATGTATTTTTTCTTTATTAGCAAAAAAATGACAAATTAAATTAATTGGCGTCAGTCATCAGTTTCAATTAAGTTTCGGGGGATGGATTTGTCTTTAATCATAATTTAAAAGTGTACAGTATACACGTGGGGAGGCTAAAAACTTTTTCTTACTGCCATCACTTTATATTAAAGTCCGTTATTAGATTTTAATTAATTCCAAATTACCATTCTTCAACTTCGTTCTATTAATAAAAATTATTTTACAGGATGAAGCAGCTTTATGAATTTCGCCTCTATAGTTTTTAATTGAAAACATGTCACTTATTTTTGATAAAATTAAAATTCCTTAAAATAAAAATCGAATGAAGTCAATGTAATGAATAAATTCTTAATTATTTAGCGAAAGAGAATTTATTTCTTGACAAAAATATAAAAGTTGGTTTCCCTCTTAATCATTATTCCGAGCTCATTCGAGTGAAATAAAATTTGTGATTTTTTTTATCGAACTGAGCTTAGAATCCTGAATTTTAATCGACACCGGAGACAAAATTTGCATACTACTCCTGCAATCTTAAATTGATATTTCTCTTTATTGCAATCAACTCAATACATTTCTTTTAATTATTCATTGTATCCAAAACATTGGTACCTAATTTTGCCTATAGATCAAAAATAAATAATCCCAGAAACTTCTTAAGAAGGTACTGATACATTAATTAAAAAATGTTTTTTATAAAATAAACAAATATTTTTCCTCAAAGGGTTTGACAAAGGACTGTATGTCTTAAACACGATGAAGGGGAACTTTATTTTTAAGAATATGCCCGGTCTTGTAAATGCGGGATAATTACAGTGGACATATCTAAACCAAACGGACCGGCTTATTTTGGCGATGACGATGAGACAGCCTTAGTACTTGGTCCTTTGACGCTGGGAGCCCGTATCGCTTTCGGCGGCCAGCGCCAGATGACTTGCCACCGCATCACTAACCAAAAGATATCACATCTATCAACGCGTCTTTGAAAATTGCTCTTTTGTTTCACTTACTGTTGTTGTTCCTTCAAAGGATTCCCCCTTTCATCTCTGCACTTTGTCCGAAGTTATTTGATTAACATACGAAGAGCAAATTACCAAAACTAGTCACGTTACGTATTGGTGCAGTGACCAGGATTTTGTTTGTTTGTTATTTACGACATTGTTAAGATAATTTTAAGACCGTTGTAGAATATTTATATTTATTAGGCTAGTGGAGTGCGGAACAAGGAGGGAAAACATTTTAGTTTTTGGGGGACATTAGACTAACCCAAAACTAAGTACAATACGGAATCCTCCTCAACCAGGGATTTAGTAATACCTCCATTCAATTGGGATTCATGAACTAACCCAACCTAGACTTGCTGGTCTCGTAGTACATCCTGTTCATATGTGCTCGAATCTGCTGAAAATCGAAAACTGCTATGTACAAATGTTTGCCCCACTGTGCGAAACCATTTCTTTAGCACTATCGATAGATAGTTTTTGATGTCGATCGTTATCGTATAGTATCTTTTCCTTATAAAATAAAATAGTACACAATTAATATTGATCCGATGTGGTTAAAACGCCCCTGTAAACTTTTTTAAAAAGGACCGATGCTCATTTGCATTTTGTCATTTGCGCCTACTTTGATCTGATTTATTGTTTGATTGCAAGCTTCCGTATTGGCTTTCTCTTTTTCACCCATCCTCACTGTGCCTATTTTTCTTTAACGGAAATCTCACTTTTCACTCCTTAAAAATGCAATTTGTTGCCTGAACGACTTAATGGTAATACCCCATAAGTAGGCAAGGAATTTTGCTTAATTTTTTTCGTCCTTAGATTCGATGATTTGGCACAAAAATAAACAGCTTTCAGTGTTTTATGAATTTAAAACTTTATACGACATATACAATTTTGGAACTTT